CCTTCGCTTTCAAAGATACTTATACTCATACAATATTTGGTCAGGTCGGGGAGTACATTATTCCACTCCTAACACAAGCCCGCGCACTTCAAACATCCGCCCTATTCCTCCGAGCCACAGCAGCAGCATTTCGCGAAGCATGGCGACTCGTCGACGCACTCCGCGCCGTGGCATCTACCGCTCCCGATCCCGATGCCCTGGTAACGCAAGTGCAAGCCGAGGACGTTGTGTAAGTGAGTTCTCGTTTGACTTTATCTCTGCTTGGTGACTTTGCGTGTTGCGTGGGGATGTGAGGTTGCATCAGAGGCTGCAGGCCACTCGGGATGCTATTTGTGAGGGTTGAAAGTCCTCGTGAGAGGGCTGTACGAGACTCTGCATTGTTGTGAGGCCTCTGACTGGTTCTCCACGAGAGTACACCTGTCCCCCTCCCCGTGGGAATGGAAACCCATTCCTGTCTCAGCAGGATTCGCGCTGCATCGACTCAGGAAACAAACGCGATAGAGATTATGGGCTTTGTTGTGGAAGAGTGCGAAGCTGACGCGGTCTCGAGTACAGATACAGAATGTTCGAACCCAACATGGATGAATACCTTGACGAAGAAGTCGAGACACTCAAGCATGCCTTCGACGCTACATGTCGACAATGGGACAAGGAGGTCGCGCGCGCATCTGGAACACATACTACGGTGCAGACGTACAACAAACGATCCGTCTTATCCTCGTTCACCGATGTTCTGCTACTGCCCGTGACCATCGTCCCACGGACTGTAGGTGGCGCAGCACAGAGAGTGGGAGGTGCGGCGGTACAGGGTATTGCGATGCTCGATCCGAGGAGATGGGGCGCGGACGCATCGGGCTCGACAGATGGTGCAGGAGGCAGCGGGTACAAGGCGCAGGGTGAAGCCGAACCAGTAGTATGGGCTGACGACGGCGACGATGGCGATGAGGAGGCAGATGAGAAGACGCTTGCGCGTATGAGCAGTATGACAGGCAGCACATCTTTCTCAGACCGTGGGAGCGTTGCATCGTTCAGCACGCTTCAGTCCGCCAGTGGAAGTGGGTTTCGGGAGAAGGGGACGATCAAAGGGAAGGATAAGGAGGGGAAGGGCAAGACGTACGATAACCTGCAACTGCTACTTTCGTTGGATGTTACCCTCGAGCTCATCCACGCCGCTCGCGACTCTCTCAAACGCGCCGAGACGTTCACGGGGTACCCTGCGCCTGTTGGTACACGTGTGCAGGCTACAGTTGAAGATGTTGCAGCGGAGATGCTCATCACGCTCGCGCAACGACACGTCAAACCTGGGTTCGAGGCGGCGATCAAGCAAATGCGGACGTACGAACCTGGACCAGTAGCGGATCCTGGCACGGAGACTGTGAGCGAGAAGGGGTGGGGAGAGAAGACGGGAGAGGGGGACAAGGTGTCGACGAGCGTTGCGCCGCTTGTGCAGTTCTTTGAGCTGGTGCATATTGGAGATATGATCCAGAGTATCGTGCAGGTTTACTTTGACAAGGAGCTCGTGAGTCTTTACTCAGTGGATTGTGACGAGGGTTAAGGCTAATATACTTCGTGCAGGCGCCGCATGTCGATACGACGGATTTCTTGAATACGGTCGTACGCGAGAAGAAGCGGTTCGAGAATGTACTGGATGATAGTGTTGCGAAGGGGTTGAATACGGGGATTGAGGTGCTTATGAACCAGGTGCGTTTGTACTACTCGTGGACTGTCTATATGCGCTTGTCCTTGTGATCTATGCACTCCTCGAGCATACACGATTCCTTTCCCTCCTCCAGGGGTCGAGCGATTCCTTCAATTTCACCGATACGAGGCTCACTTATCGGACTGAGGCGATTATCGGCCACCAGCGGATATATGGTCTCCCCGTATATGCGCCTTGAACTTCATACACACACGCTCCCCGACTGGGGCCCTACGCACATTTTCTCTTCCGTACACATGCTATAATTGGCCTTCGCGTGAAACAGTAAGCTGATAGTTGGGCATAACAGGTCGACCACATCATTCTCGCCCTGACACCTCCACGCGCATACTACCCACCCGAAGACGCCCCATTACTCCTCGGGCCTTCAGCGGGCTGTACGGCCGCCATACGTTGCCTAGAGAACCACATCTCGCTGCTCAAGGGCAATGTGAACCGCGAAGTGCTCGAAGTGTTCGAGACGGAGTTAGGCGTACGACTTATTGGGTGCGTATCCCCTTTCGATCTATCCGGAGCTGTTGTGAGGCTTTGGTCCGTCGTTCGTTCCGGCACGCTAGACCTCTTGTAATGGTCTACCCGGCGGTATCTCTGGTTGGTCGCAAATTCCGAGGTCCCCGCATCTAGTGTGGGCGACCCGCTCTCAGGGAGAGTTCACACAGCGCCCACAGGTTGTTGAGGGCCGCTTCCACTACAATTCAAGCGGGCAAGTACCATCTTGGGACATCGGGCATGCCACTCCTTCAAAGAGGGCTGTAAGATAACCAACTCTATTGCGCACTGTGTCAGACCGATTGTCGACGTTCCGCACAACCCGCTTGACCCGCTGCTTTGCTTTGCTATGCCATGCGTGCTCGCTACTGTGTGCACTGATGCTGATACCCGCCGGCGACAGAATCCTCCAGAAGCACATCAAACGGCAGATCATCAGTCTCAGTGGTGGCTTCCAAGTCATCGCTGACCTCAACGCTTACCACGCGTTCATCGCATCGCTCAAGGTACGTTCTCCTTTCAACCTCGCCGCACAACTTCTCCGTGCGCTCTCATTCCACCTCAACATATTCGCTTCCCCTGCATTCTACCTTCGCCTCATCATTGCCTCCTCTACATAATTTCCTCACGCCGCCGGGGTTATGTCGGAACGTCCCTCGATATTGCATTGCATTCTGGTTGAGGGATGAAGCAGACCGACCTGGCCGCCGCCTCGTGTGCGCAGAGTCCGCGGGTTCCCGTCTGTGGTCCGGCGTATTGCAGGCGCCCATAACCGCCCATTGCACACGCATCGCGTCTATTACTGCAGATCCTCCTCTCCTCTCCCCGCGGCGCTTGATCACTAGCGTATACCGGGAAGCTCTCGAGCTATAACCTCAGTCTAGACCGTATCCGCGCGCCGATCCTCGGTATTCATCCACTCTACTGCTCCGTGTGTAATTGCGCATGTAGCCTTTTCTAACCCTTGATTTACCCCTTCGCTTCGAGCTTCCGTGCTTGTGAAGATCAAGCCACTGACGACACCACCTTCTTCGCGCAGATCCCGTCGCTTACAGCGGATTTCGCAAACCTGAAGATGTTAGGACACGTGTACATCGTAGAGGATGCGAAGGACCTCGCGCAGATCGTGCGCGACGTCACGCGATACGGCGGTGCGTACCGCCCCGAGGTGCGCATGTTTCCTGCTCATTATCGTATTTGTGTGTTCACGTTTCACCTTTGGTAGGACATCTACGAGTTTGTGCAGAGGCGGAGCGACTGGAAACGGATAGAAAAAGTCGTGGACAAGACAATGTACAATCTCAATCTCAAGGAGGACTGCGTCATATGCTAGGTGATTTTGGTGTGAGCTTCTGGTGCTTGAAAGGCTTGAGGCAGACGGTGGCGGAGGTCTGGGCTCGAGAGCGGTTCCGCAGGAGTTGAGCTACAGCCTGGACTGACTCTGACAGGCTTCAGAATGCGCGCCGTGGAGTGCGATTCAGTGCATGATGCCGTATAGACTGTAAGCTTTGCAAAAACATTTTGTTCTAAGGCGCGCAGGTTCGGGAAGATGTCCTGTTGTGCGCAAGCATATGGCATGTTCTAGCGTGCCAAGATGGGTTTTGCGGCGCACTAGATGTACTTCACAGTGCTTCGGACGCCTTCTTCTCTGCGGGAGAAGACGCGCTGTCAAGGGTGAAATATATCGATATCACACATTGTATTCCTTCCAGCTTGACACGTTCTGTAGGGGCTTCAATTGTGTACCGGTCGAAACCTGAAGGCTTCCGAGCGATATTGTCACTGAACGCTGTCTCCAAGGAGCTCACAGTACGTTTGACTTCACTACATCATCTGCGGAAGATTAATGCAGCCAGCGCTCCATAGAACCGCATTCATTCCGTGTATACACGCGTTTTCTGTGTGGTTTGCAACGGCGTATTAGATGCTGACGCAGATGGGTGACCGCCTATGTCAGCGTAACTGTTCGTGCTTACTCACCAAAGTTTTTGAGTATATGCTCTATACAGTCATAAATGGTCCACGATCAGCTAGATCACGACGGACCTGGGGACGATCAGGACGCACCCTATTCGGTACTATCGTGACTGACGCGTCGTGTCACGGTCCACGCCAGTCCCCGACTGCGCCGCCACAGTACCGATTCAACCAATTCGCGCATATCTCCGCTTCCGAGCCTCGGCGACATCGGCGGGACTCCCCACGAAGCTCCAGTCTTCTCATGTCTACTACTCCTCATCAATCCATCTCTCAATCTGCTCATGAGACGTGAGCAAATATCGCCAGACGGCGCCACATGCCATTCAGTACGGGTGGGAGTGATCGTCGACGAGCGCTGACAGGGAAGGGTGAAGTGATAGCCTTACTCTTTTTCGGTCTCAGGCTCCTCTGGGAGACGAAATACCGTGATGTATTGGGTGCTGCGGCGATCTTGATTCGAGGTGTATACAGATTATCCAGTGGCGCCGCTCAGGTCCGATGTGCTGTAGAGATTCACGCGGCGGAACGCAAATCCCGCATGTTCCTACTCCGGTAAGTACGGACTGCATGGCTGCAGATCAGTCACAGTCTAAAATAGAGAGTGGTGTGTATGATAGTTTCCTCTGCGTTGCGGTAGTGCTGAGGCTTCCAGCTGTTTATGCAGTATTACAGATATTGAAACAGTGTATTACCGCTACCATCGTAGCCAAGACAAGTATTATTTGAGGCAGTTTCAGCTTGAAGGTAAGGTCGTGGTGCAGCGTCGATAGCTGAGTAAGCTCATATGTATCTGGTAGGAGACTCGCCTAGTGGCTCGATGGTCTAGTGGTAAGATACTTGCTTTGGGTGTATAACCGTCCAAGAGATGTGCAAGGGATCCCGGGTTCGAACCCCGGTCGAGCCCGATATTTTGTGTACTGAGCTCATATTATTTTGACCCCTGAAGTCGGACGTGGATAGGAAGTCGGATGGGCACTTCAAAGCCTCGCCGTACCCCATCCGCTGACTTCTTAACCTCGGGATTTTTCGTGAGAGTGTATGCATGATTTTACTAGCAGTCTTCAAAGACTCACAGTCCTACGCATAATATGAGGGCGACAAATAATCGAGAAATGCGAAATCTGGCTGTATCAACTCCCCATCAAATTCCAATTAACGTCAGGGCTGGCAGATCTGTGCTGAGTATCGCACGATAAAGTGGTACATCGTCTCAGAAAGAACCTATAGACACACTCTGTCCACTTTTTGAGAGCGATAGCGCATGAGGGAGCGAGGGAAATATGTACGACCTCTAGGTGTGGCTCGCGGCGAAGACGTAAGTTCCCATGCGCACTTCGGCGCGTTTCACGATCACTACCTCTATAGCTATTCAACCCATACTTTCAAAAAAAGAGTGGACTTTTGAAGCGCGCCTTTATACCTCAAGATCCCTCTCGTTGAGGTACATCGTACATCGTCCCGACGAGCAGGTTCCTACCGTTTACCGAACTGTTGTTTCAAACTCCGCTTCGAACGGCGCGCCGATACCCGCCGGCCCAGCACTTGGTTCTCGTCACTTTCCTCCGCATTTCGTCTTCCTCCAAATACACACTTTGCACGCCAATCACTTCTTACTACATTCAAAGCACGCACACAGACCGCAGCAATCGAGGCTACCCTGGCGCAGATCAGGTTCGTCGCGAGACTGCAAACCCTTCATGCCATGCCTAAGATTGCGTTATGCGTCTCCTCCTCGTTGGCTGCCACCGGCGTACGTACACTGTCGCTCTCGGCCAGCCCGCGTCCCCGCTTGCATAGCAGACTACCTCGTCTGCGCATAAACTGTGCAGCCGCATGTGCTGTCAGCGAGCGTATCGGAAGGATTGAATCCGATGGATACCGTTCGCGCCCAGAAGAGGTTGTTCCAAACCCACGAGTGGTTCGCGTCACCGAGCGCTTGCCGATTGAGGCCTGAAGGCACGTTACGTTGACCACCCGGTGAACAAGCGGGAAAGTACGGCGCTCAAAGGGTGAGGGCGATCTCGCGGAACCGCACCTTGTGGCCACAGGTGGAAGTGCGGTCCACGACCTCGTAGTCCGGTCACCAAGAGTAGTTGCCGACGGTGATTCGCACACTGCTGCCGGAGTGAGGAGGATCACGCTAATGCGTGTTGTAGAACTTCTGGTTCAGAGGAGGAAGCCCTCACGGAAGCTTTGCCGACCGCCGTCATTACTGCTCTTGTTGACAGCTCAACAACGTGCATGTGCGCCCTAGGACACTGCCTGCACAACTGTTACATCTCTCTCAAGGCGCAGCAGGGCATGGCCGCGTGGTACGTACTATGAATCGCATCAGCCGGACCTGAGCAGTAGGTGAAAGACTGACGGACCAGTTATGCAATAGAACTGGCAAATAGAAGTCTGCAGGGCTCCAGCCAGTGAAGATCTGCATGCACATGGGCGCCGAATGTTTGTTCTCGGCTGCTTTACAGCTTAAGGTAGACAGCAGCGCAGCTGCAGATCGACCCTACGGACACGTATACGCTTTCGGCATACTCAGACGCTTGCATCGCTATCTTGCGGTCGTCGCAAGGCATCTCTTTGCCGCGGACGCGCGGTGAACACCTCTCGCGCTCCTACTAGTGTCGCAAACGAGAGATTTGAGATTTGTTGCTGGCAACGAGCGGGGGTGGCGTACTTGCTCGGCGATGGTGGAAGGAAGCACTTGAGTGCCGATCTGCGTTGGATCTGCTTACAGCTAGACCGGGGCGTGCTGACATATTGCCCCGGTTGTGTAGGTACACGTTGCCCCTCTTCCATTTTGGCGACGTCAAGCGCAAGCCCGCAAATCCCTTCTACTAGTTAGGCACCGGAACAAGATTGGCGTCTCCTCAGCATCTGTGGGTTCCCTTCCACGAAGATGCATCGATACCCTGTCTGGCATCATGCGGCTCCGAGCCCGAGCCTGGCATCTTCGCGCGATAAAGAGGCTCTTGTGGTCTGTGGACTTGGTGCGCAGACCGTGAGGGCGATGCATTACCGCTATTGTTGTGACTCGAATGGGGTACAACGCGGGCTGATCCTCGATTGAAGGCAATACACCGCGCAGGGCCTGCGTGCAGTTCGCAGAGATTTCATCTGCGGCATCACACTTCTGGCAACTCGGGGCAAGAACCCCGAGGACCCATCGTTTTCATTACCAAGTCCGTGCTCTGTTCGGTGTTTTACATCGGATGTTGGACATATGTCTAGCGCCACCTTTCTGTGGGACCTGCGGCCTTTCGAACTTTGTTGAACGCGCAGCTGCCACCTCCCGCCGATCCGGGCGCTGTCTATATAAGAGATGCACTTCAATCGTGCGGCACTGTCCTTTCTGCCCCTCGCCATGCCTTCCTCTCAGCCGAGTCTTTCGCTTCCAAGCATTCACGAATTGCTACCAGGTATGCTATCCCATTGTGCTTCGTTGCTCTGCTACAATCTTACCACCATTCAGACGCGGCCTTCTACGGGCAAGCCCAGCAGACCTCTCCACACTCCGGGAGGCAACCATGGCCTACATTGAGGTCCTCTACGGTACGCTCAGATGTAGTATGCATATCTATCTTGCGCTGATATGAACGTTGTCTTCCTTACTGGCATCACCTATCACCGCAGCCCATGCCTGCGCTTGACTCTCGTCAACAGCAACAGCATCCTAGTCACTCTGCCGTTTCCGTAGACAACGGCAGGTCAAGATGGCACGCTGGGCCATCCACGTCTTCTTCGCAGTCGTCACACAGCATGCCGCAACCGCTCTCGGGGTCGTCGCATTCGACAGGCTACGCTTCACAAGGGATGGCTCATAGCATGTCGTCTTCCCATCCACCATATCCTGCCATCTCAACGCGTAATTCGTACTCGCATGCGCAATCACATAACAGGCACGCCTCCTCTCCAGGTGGAACCATACGTATTGGGACCTCACGTACGTCCGGTGAAGATCGCTGGTTGCACACCCCGTCATCCTCAGCGGATTCGTCTGCATCTCCCTTGTCTCCGTCAGGGTCCGAGTCCGACGAACTGGCGGACGACGACAGCGCGTCTGGTCCTAGCGCTTACGGCGGAAGTCCGCCTGGCATGCGTTCCATCGATGCAGACGACGTGCACCGGCGACACGAATGCCCTCACTGCCACCGGCGTTTCAACAGACCAAGCAGTTTGGGGATACACATCAATACCCACACAGGCGAGCGTCGTACGTGACTCTTTGCGCAGTGTGCGCGCCGTTCTCGAGACCCGCGATCTGATATGCAGACAGCATTCATTTGTCCGTACGCGGGATGCGGTAAGAGGTTCAACGTCAATTCCAACATGCGCCGACACTATCGCAAGCACCTCTCTGCCGTGGACATGCCCACTCATCCCGCTGCGGGTTACGCGGGCCACCCACATCCGCACGATCCGGTCGACCTGCAATTCATTCGATATCAGGATGAAGTGCCCACGGGCTTCTCGCCCGCGAGGTTTTCCTGACGATCTGCATCTGCATCTTGGATTGTTGCACGCACAGCCTTTCTTCCTTTATTTCTGTCTGTCGATTCGGTCAAATTGATCGATTCGGTTCTGTACCAAGTTACGTTCTTGTGATGCTGTCGTTTGTCTCGTCGTGCTTTGCTTTCATATCGCATGGACTTATGTCGCTATCGTGTTTCATTCACAATGCTGATCGACAATGTACATTTATCGTGACCACCAGTGTTTCCTGCGCCGGGGTCTGCACTCTGGCTAGCCGGGGAACAGCCGGTCCCGCCAGGAGGGGACGTTGGTGGTCTACTACTACTACTACTACTTTACACTCGGTTGAGGATAGTGCTCGTTCCGTCTCGGCTCTGTACACGAGATATCCGCGAATTGTACTTCGTCAGAAGTTTGAACTTTAAGTTTGTCTCAGCTACTCCTTACGGTTGCCCCACTCATTGCACCGAGTACCACGCGTACGTGCGTAAACCCTGGTAGGCGCTGTGTTTCCTGCGCCTCGAGAAATAGCTGTCAGCCCTATGGCAGACGGTTTGCAGGCTATAAACACTGGACTATCTCCTTGTCGGCCCGAGAGTATTGACCCCGTAAATGGCGTGAGTGATTCTTAGCGCTAACATCGGAAGGCATGGAATAGACAGAGCATGATATGATGGAGTTGTATAGCTGTTACTCGGCGACCGGAAGATCCCTATCGCCAATCAAGGTCTCGTGGTTCAGGACCATAGAGCCGCACGCCTTGGTGAATACGCGTGCTAGTGTGCATCAATGTCGTGCATCTCCGCTTAAAATATCAGAACGCCAGTTGATGGCCACCTTGAGGTTCCCACCGCAGAGAATTCCCACGACGCGGCGCGCGTCCTCAGTATGCATTTCGAAGCTACTATGCACTTGTCCTTTTCATATTAAAACCTGTCTCAGGCGTGATGATCTGGGTAACTGACCCTTGACCCCTTCAGAAATCTCAACAACGAGACGAGTAAAGCAAACTACCAACGATCAGTCACACCAGCGTTAGAGCGCTCCAACGCAAGGGAAAACCGCGCTCAACTCTATCGTGAATGAAGGCGATAGTAAGTGTGGAGAAGATCTATGTAGTACGGGATGGTGGATGTGTTGACTGACCTCTGGGTGCTCAGTTTTGACTTGAGAAAGGCACTTGATCATAACCTTAAAGAAACTCGTACGCTGTTCGTACTACGCCTGCTCTCCAGCAGGCTACTACGGGAAAGCCTCGGTATCCGAGTCGCCACAAAAGTTCAGCGAAAATTGTCTTCGGATTCAGGAGTCACACAGCAGTCGTGATTGTTCTAGAGATAAGTATGCGTCTTTGAATTCTTGGTGACTCTCAATCAGTGTCCGAGAACTGCGTCAATTGCGGCAAAATTGCGGCAGCAGGCAAGGTGGCCA